CCGGTGCCGTTCCAAGTGCGAATCCCACGGGAAGCTCTTGCCGCAATCGGCGCAGCTGAACGGCCTCTCCCGTGCCGGTCCCTTGCTGGCTGCCCCACGTAAGGGTTTGGCACAGTCCATTTTGGGGACCGCCGCAGCTTTGGGCATCTTGGCGGCGCTCTGCGGCATGGCTTTATCCGGGCGTTTCGTTTTCCGCCTGTTCGAGCCGAGAGTCTTCTCCTTCTCCGGGCTGTGGGATGAGCGGGCTTCGAGCTCCTCGCAGCTCTCTTCCGCTGCTCCTTCCTCCGCCGCTTTTTCGCTCACCAGCCCCTGTGCTGCTGGGGAGATGGGAAAAGGAGAAAAAAAGGGGAGAGCGAGGCCTCAATCAGAGCAGAGTCTGGCATTTAAAAAAAAAAAAAAAAAAAAAAAAAAAAAAAAAAATCAATGGAGCAAGAACAGGATTCCCCCTCCAAAAAATAACCTCGCTCTCTCAGAGAGGAGGAAGAGCGATGCGATAGGAGACCTGATCCCAGCTTGAACTGGGAATGTGGAAATCCTGAGCACACCCCATTGCCTGTATTTCCAATTTAAATATATATATAGAGAGAGATCAATAACATTTTCCGTGCAGAAAATTCGAGTAGAAAGTTGGGATTTGGGGAAATCCCCCTTAAAACCTGCCTGCATTCCTCCCCCCCACTCCCCATCCTGCTGGCAATCCCTTTGCTTCCCTGCCAGAGACAGGGGGGAAAAAAAAAATAGAGCAAGGAAAAAAGAAGGTGTTCAAGAAGAAAAGAGGATTTTTTTTTGCGTTTGCTTACCAAGGGACATCAGCGTTTCGTAGCTCTCCTGCATCACATCCCGGTACAGGGCTTTCTGCCGCGGGTCCAGCATCACCCACGGCTCCATAACGGGGAGAGGCACAGGCAGTCGGGAGAATGGGGGGGGTTCTCCCTCTGTTCCTCGCTCGGGGCTCCTGAAAATCCCCTGTGGGGGAAGAGAAATCCCTTCAAATGAGGGAAATCCCCCGTGTAGTGCTTCTTGTTTGGGTTTTGATGCTTTTTCTGGGGATGACTTGAGAAATATTGGGGTTTATCCCCCCCTGCCGGGTTGCAGCACAAAGACGATCCCTCTGTCCAGGACCAAACCCTGTGCGGAGCAGTTTGGGGAAGGGGGGCAGGAGGGTCCCTGGTTCCCCCTCCCATCTTTCAGGCAGACCGTATCCCACAGCAATCTCTGCCCTCCTCCCTCCAGCATCCCAGTTCACCCGGTCCTCATCTTACTGGGAATTAACCCTCCCAGGGTGATGGGGCCATCAGGGGACACGTCGCAGGAGCTGAGTTGCGTGTCCCATCCCTGCAGGGACCGGAGCTCCGTCTCCATCCTCCTTAGCCACTTTCCTCTCCCCAGAGGAGCTGCCACCCCTGAGGACATCCCCAAGGGCCGGATCCTTCAAAGCTCCAGCCCTGACGCAGCTCAGGACCCTCTGCAGAGCAGGAGCACATCCCTGCTCAGGCTTTCTCCCCCCGTTACCTTAAGTCTCCAGCTCAGGACTTGCTGTCAGCTGAGCCTGGACCTGTTTCCAGGACTTTCCCCTGGGAGAAGCGTCCCCCCCCTTCCCAGGCTGAGGCTGTAAGGAGGGGGGGGGATGCACAGACACCACCTCCTCGCACCCCGAGGACCGCCGTGTCTTCCGACAGCAGGGCACAATGGAGGCGACGCCGGGCATGGATTTGCTCCGGAAGCCCAAGACGGTATCCGGGAGAGAGGAGACGCCAAGAACAGGCTCCTCGGCGGCAGAGTTTACCTAGAGCCCTCTAGAGGTAACCCAATCCCAGTTTCTCCCCCCATCCCCATCCTCCCCAGCACCCTCAGGACCACGCTCCGGTCCTACCCCATCACAGAATGGTCAGGGTTGGAAGGGACCTCTGGAGATCATCTAGTCCAACCCCCCCCCACCAGAGCAGGGTCACCTACAACAGGTTGCACAGGACGGCGTCCAGGGACACTGGGGTTGGAATGTCTCCAGCGTGGGAGACTCCACAACCTCTCTGGGCAGCCCGTGCCAGTGCTCCGCGACCCTCAAAGTAAAGAAGTTCCTCCTCATGTTAAGATGGAACTTAAAATCACCCCCATTCCCTTTTACCCAGCGGTTTCGGAGACCTCCAGCCCCGCTGGAAACTCCGCTGGGGAATCCTAACAGCGGCAGTGGGGATATTTTGAGTATTGCAACAGGGGAAGGTGATGGGGGTCTCTGTGGGGCAAGGCGGCATCCCCCAGGTGGGAAAGGGGGACACTGGGCCGGTTCCCTGATCAGCATCGGGGATGGGAGTTGTGCTAAACAAGAAATTAGTTTTTTCCACCTGGAAAAGTGGTCCAAACCGTGTTTTCATCACGTGACTGGTGAAAAAAGGTTGATTCCCCCCCCACCGCCCAAAGCTTCAGGCACGGGAGTCACGCACTGGCAGGTGGGAAGGAGGGGGAATTCCCACTTACCAAGTTATCCTTCCTTGTTGCTGGAGCAGGAGATCAGGAACGCCAAGGAAAATGCAACTCTGCGAATGAGAAGATAAAGAAATGCAGCAGGGGAATTGAGAGGGGAGCCTGGATTTCTGCCTCCGAGAAAGCCCAGGAGATTTGAAACAGCGCAGACACTTTTCTCTACGGTGGGTGCAGGGGTTTGGGTGGTGGTTTAATCCTTCCCCGGCTGGGAAAAGCCGTGAGTGGAGGGGAAGCAAGAATTTTCTTTTAATTTGCTTTAGAAAGAGCGAAAGGATGGGGAATTAACCCTAAATCCTGCCCTCCCTAACGCACGGGGTGTTTAACCCCTGCCTCCCCACCGAAGGAGGGAGCGGAACAGATTTCTGCAGCCTCCCTGATCCTCCCTCCCTGCTCCATCGCTCCTCGGCCGGTGGCAGTGGCTGGATGTCCCCAGGAGAGATGCTCAGGTGGCTCTGGGAGTGTTGCAGCTCGGCTGGGTATGGAAGGACACGGGAAGGGGCTGGATCAGCCGGCGGAGGGGAGAAGGGTGGTCTCCAGGGATGCTGGATGTGCTCCGAGGAGGGGCTGTGGCAGCGGGTACCGGCGTGGGACAGGCAGAGCTCTGCCTGCATCCTCGAGGCCCATCGAGGCACGTGACAGCCCTCTGCCCCAGGGTTCTGTCTGCACCAAATCCTGAGCCACAGACTTCAGGTGATGGGCACAGGGAGGGAGGGAGAGCCACACAGAATGCCCTGCCTCCCAGTCCAGCCCCAGTCCCTTTACTGGGACCAGTGCAAGGAGCAGCAAGAGGGAGAACCAGTCCCTTGCCCCATCCTTACGCCAGCAGAGGGGAGACCAGAGCTGTTCCCAGGACCTGGCTCTTCCCTGGTGACCTGAGCAGCAGATCTGCTGCCAAGAAGGTGGAGAAGGTCCGATGAGACCCACCTCATCCGGCACCGCAGCACTGGCCGGCGGGAGAAACGCTACGAGCGCTCCGAGTGCGGCAAGGGCTTCACCACCAGCTCCTTCCTCCTCACCCACCAGCGCAGCCACACCAGGGAGACCCCCTTCCTCTGCAGCATGTGTGGCAAGAGCTTCGCGGTGGTCTCCAACCTGGCGCGGCACTGGCATGTGCACACCAGGGAGAAGCCGTTTCGGTGCGGGGAGTGCGGGCGGCAGTGCAGCCAACGGGCTCATCTCACCACCCACCAGCGGGTCCACACCGGCGAGTGAGCCTTCATCTGCAGGGATTGTGGGAAGGGCTTCAACGTCAACTCGTCCCTTACCAAACACCAGCGGGTACACTCCAGGGAGAAGCCCTACCGCTGCCTCAAGTGCAGGAAGAGCTTCAGCCAGAGCTCCAACATCATCACGCACCAACAGCTCCACCACGGGGTGCACCAGCTCCATGCAGGAGCGGCTCCAGCTCCCACACCGTGCTGGTGAAGCCCAGCGATGACCAGCTCAGCCTGGAGGTCTTCTCCAGAGACTGTAAGTCAACCAGGACTTGTGGGAGTCAACTTGGCACAGGTGGGAGACGCATGAAATATCTGGGTATCGGGGGGTATGAAGGAGAAGATAGGGACCAAGCGCGGCCACCATCAGCAGAAGACACCAGCTCTGGGTGAGGTTCCTCCTGCTCTGCTGGAGGAGGGAGAAAACGCCCTCCGTTCCTCCCAGCCAAGGTGGTGGTGGGTGTCCAGGGTGTCTCCTGTTCTTACGCTGCCCAAACACAACAAAAAGGACCTTTGGTTTTCCTCACCGCTCCAAGATCTCCCCACGATGTTGGATGCAATGGGTTGTTTCATCTCCCATCTGGCATTCTCCTCTCCTCCAGTGACCTGCTAGTGGTGATAACAGCTCCAGGAATAAGAGGTGGCATGATAAATAATACCAAAAAGTTGCGATCTCTGTGTGCACCCATGGGGAGTCCAGGCACACGAGCCCCACAGCTCCCTTTTAGCTCCAGGCTGGGACAGGAGGAAGCCCCTGAGCCTCAGGGTTCCCAAAGGGGCTCCAGAAGCCATCAAGGAGCAAGCCCAGGGGCCAGAGGCCACTGGGGTTGGTCTCCTCCTACTTACTCGTGTTTTAATGTTGGGTTTGAGGTGGGTTTGTGGGTTTTTTTTGCATTTGAGGTGTAAGAGATGATTTGAGATCATTGGGCTTTCTCTGGAGAACATGGCTAGGGAGCTCCAGACAACGCTGGGCTTTGGTGTGGCACCCATCTCCTTGGATCTTGGCAAAGTAACACACCAAACCCATGAGTGCAAACGGCACAGATAAAGAGAATCAGTGTCAGAAAATATAATTTCTCCCTCCCACTCAGTATCAAGCCAAGAGGAGCATAACTTCAGGTGTGTCTCAGAGGCCACGGCCCTGTTTCCAACCATAATGCCTCTCCAACCTCCCCAGACACTTGGTGTGGTCAAAGATGAGGACAGCATCTCCTGTTGGGGAGCAGTCTTTCCCTGCAGCTACATGGAGAGGGTCTTCAAAGAGGTTAAGGTGGACTTTGGTGGTCTCCCACCAGCATCATGGGGTCTTACGCGGGCAGGAGGCTGAAGATGCTCCCCATCCAGGAGCTGCCCTCCAAATTCCATTCCTGCATGGGCACGTGGGTGCTGGTGGGACACCAGGCTTGGTGGTCGTGTTTATAGGAACAATATTGAATCAGGCGGATGAGAAAAACTCTTGAGTTTATTCTTTTTTTGTCCTCTTCTTCTCCCAGACATGAAATGAGGGAGACAAGGAAAGATACCCATGGCGAGAGGACAGGCCCTCGGTATTCAGTTCATGCAAGAAGATCTGCTGAGGATGGCAGAACACCCTCCACCTTCACCTTTCATCACCTTATCCACAGCGGCCTGCAACTCCAAGGTGCCGATGAAGGACCCCCGGCGTTTCCTCCTCCGGCGGTCCGCCTCGGTGACCAACCCCTTGCAAAGGACGCCCATGGAGATGTTCATCAGCCTCCTGGCCTTCACCGACATGCGCCTGGTTGGCGGTGGCAGCTGGCTCAGCAGCCTGGAGATGTACCTGTTGTAGGAACCCTTCTCCAACCAACTGCTTAATCCCTTTGGAGCTGGTTTCCATCGTCCAACCTGAGCTGGAGACCTTCTCCACTTAAGCAGAGGCTTTGTCAGCTGGACTTTCTGCTTCCTCCTCCTCCTCCAGGTTTTTCCTTGTCTCTTGGTGGCTGCAGCCATGGGCTCTCCTTCAGACTCGGTGCTCCTCCCCGCAGAGCTGTACCACCAGAGCTCTTTTCTAGAAGGACATATTCAAATGAGGGAATCAACAAGGCAGCCCAGGATTGGCCGGCTGCGACAAAGCCCTTATGAGGCAGCTCATCCTCATCCAAAATTTGCATAAGGATTTGGTTTGGGTTTTTTTTTTTTTTTGCCTGAAAAGCATGGAATTCCACCAAAAGAACATACCTCATTTTTGACTTAACGCCCCCAAAACCACCTTTCCTTCTGTATTTCCTCGCAGAGAAAGAGCCCGAAATATCTCGATTTCGCTTCTTCCTGGCTTAATTATTACACTCGCTTAACGAAGGTGCGTGGTCAGCATGGGGAGGGAAGGTTTTTCCCACAGTTTGGGAAAGATCTAAAAGAGGTGGGAATGATCAAAAGGTGGAAGGGTTGATGGTGAGGATGAGGAGGGGGAGGACAGTGTGGGACAGTGTCAGGATGGCCGAGTGGTCCAAGGCGCCAGACTCAAGGCTCTGCTTTCCCTGCTGTGGGGTTTTCTGGTCTCCAGATGGAGGCGTGGGTTCAAATCCCACTTCTGACACACCTTTTTTTTTTTTCCTCCTTCTAAAAAAGAAAATTTTGATAATTTTTCTAAATAATTCCCCCAGAGTTAGGGAAAACACCGATTCTCCTTTATGTAACTTCACCCTCCCCCAAAACCCCCAACATTGGTCCTGGACGAAGTTTGGCCGTTATAAACTGCGCCCACGTGTGGAGAAAAAGCCCGTGGAAGGGGAGGGATGTCCCCTCGTGGAGGGGACACGCGTGGGAGTGAGGTGGGACACAACTGTCACCGCATCCCTGGTGGTCTAGTGGTTAGGATTCGGCGCTCTCACCGCCGCGGCCCGGGTTCGATTCCCGGTCAGGGAAACTCCTTTTCCACCCTTAATTTCTTCTTCAACCCTTCTCCTTCTTTCTGATGACACCAATAATAGCTTTTTTTTTTTGGCGGTTTTGTTTTGTTTTAAAGCACACACAGCGACAGCAAACACCACCGTTATTTTTAAAGCCCCCTTGCTGCTTTTTAAGAACTGCTGCTTTCATTGTGACGGGTAATAAACTTGACGAGGGATGGGTTTAGCAGAGCTGGGATATCACCATCACTTATCCTGAGGCAGTTTAGACTGGTGGAATGTTTCCCCCCCCCCACCTGCAGCAATTCCCACTATCTGCAGGTGATTTAAATATATATATATTCATGTATATATAGCTTTCTACTTGCTATAACTGTCTACTTGCAGCAAGGAGGGTGTGAAAGCCCATGTTTCTCCAGGGCAGAACCCACCTACCGATTCTCACTAACAAGACACCGAGCCACAGCCCCAACCCCTCATCGTCCTTTCCCTCAGAAAGAAACCCTGAGGCCACCAAAAGCAGGTGAACTGGGGGCTTTATTGCAACGCTATGTTGACTATTTCACTCCACAAACACCTGGTGGCATCGCTTGGGTCTTTCCGAACTGGCGGATGCAGAGATCTTTCCAGCAGTTGGGGTGTTTGGGGTGTTTTTAATTCCTGTCCCTTGAATTTTAGGGTCTTGCTTGCCACCCAGCTGAACCTCAAGGGGAGGAGGATGTTTTCTTTAGTGCCTGTTTCTGCAGACCATGGTGGAGACATGCCTCCACCTCCTCTTCGGCACCACGCGCTGCAGGGCGGCACGGATGTGTGCGGGGCTGATGAGGGGATCCCGGCTCTCCCTCCGCAGCCGCTCGGCCTCACTCGACACCTGCTTGTAGATGTCCTCCACGAAGCTGATCATGAGCCCCTTGGCCTGGTGGGAGAGGAACCGGCTGTCTCGCTTGATCTTGTTGAGCGTCTTGGCATTGATGGAGTGGAGGGAGCGCTTCGAAGCCCTTTTCCTCTGCTTCTCCACGGGCTGACGCTTCGCCTGGCCCCGACGCTTCCTCTGCTTGGCCGGAGATCTCCTGCTGTTGCTCTTCTGTCTCCTTCCATGCTGGATTCTCCTTTCCTTCCGGGATCTCCTTCCCTGCTGGGTCCTCTTTCCTCCCCTAGCAGACGCCATGGCTCAGCCTTGTCCCCGCACTGCCCGGACCCCGCAGTCCTACAAACACCCCCAACCCTCCCTATGTTATGCAAGTGAGCATGCAAATGAGGGGCAGCTCTGAGCCCTACCATTGGCCAAGTGAACAATACCCCCTCCACCACTTCATAATGGGTAGAATCCTCACCAGGGTGGGTGCCTGGTGTCCCTTCTTGGCCAGACCAGCCAGGCTTGATGAGTGGCTGCAAGGTTTGAAGGCCTCCAGGGTCTTTAAGACCCTCACCCCTCCAGGGTGCTCGACCTCCCAATGGAAATCTTCCACCCAACCCAAAAACTAGCATTTGTTTCTCGCAGTATGACCTCAATATCAAAAGTTTTGTCTCACAACCAAACCAAGTACGTGCAACACGTGTCCGGGGAGTCTTCTGGGTGAGCAGGAAGTGAATGACAAGAAAATCCTTTGAAAGAGCATCTTTCCTCAACAGAAACTACCTGCACGCCTGAGACCTTGTGTCTGCCAGCTCAAAGACTCATTATAGCTAATTACACAGTTATCAAATCCACCCGGATACACCCCGGGTTTTTCCCTCCCTGTGCTTTACATACGTAGCTCATTTTGCATATCCACATGTAAATGCTCACACATACACGCACCTCCCGTGTTTCCTTCAAGTTCCTCCACACGCTGCCAAAAATCACAGTCAACATCCCACACCAACATCTACCCGCTCCAATTCTGGAGAATTATTTTTTTTTTTTCCCCTCCTCTCTTCATGAAGAAAAGCCAGCGTTAAAACCAGAAGACAATTATTTGGAAGCAAATAATCATCCTGTTCTTCCGCCATCCTACACCGGCTGATTCAATTGGGTTTTCATCCCTCCCCACTGTATTTCTCTAAACTTTGTGGCGTAATCGGCTTCACATGGATATTTGGTTTCCAGTAATGGTCAGAGAAACAGCAGAAACATGGGAGGAACTCCTTTTGCAACTGCGCTTGTTTGTACTCAGACAATAAACCCTGTCATTTGAGGTTGAGCCTAAAGCAACTTGTTAGGACACGCGTTAATCTCGCTCTTATCAAAACACGATAGAACAAACTGCCCTCCCTCCAAAAATCTACAGCTGCCCTGGGAATATGGGCACCTACTGGTTTCATCACGTAATCCCCAAATCCCCTCAGAAGAATCATTGCTTCATCTGAAGAAATAATATGTGGGTTTTCAGCATAGACACCCACAGCTATCAGAAAAACAACCTGGTAATTACCAGCCAGTAAAAAATAAAATAAAATCAGACACAAACCAAGTTTTTTTGAAGAAAAAAAACCAAACAGCGCCTTTTCCTTTTCCAAATGTTAAACCTGAATCAAACCAGTGGTTTTTCTTAAATGGAGACGTGCTGTGGAACAAAAACCTCAAGAAAAACATGCAGTCCTTCAATTTTTCTTAGAAGGAAAGTTTCCACAGATGTTCGTCACCCAGTTTTAACGCAGACAAAGGGGAACTTGGTGGACATCATGACAAAAGCTTGTGAACTGGATGCAAAGAATCAGTTCTTAATTTGGCCTCAGTGCAGGCAGAGATATGTCCTGGTTTTGAAGACATCACCATTTTGGAAGAGTCTGACCCCCTCAACGGCACAGCCAAGGGTGATGTCGACAGCGCAACGAACCTCCTCGGCCATCCCAGCAGCAACGCTGAGAATATGGGTTTGGGGAAGACTAAATTTCCCCAGGACTGAGCTGTCTGCAGGAGCAGGCAGAAGAAACAGGACCACAAGATCTCCACCTTGCTATAGAAACACCCCCGCACGCCATTAACAAGCATGTTGCTGGGCAAGAGCCACATCATGGCTTCTTCTGAGAAGACCCATTGAACACAGCACCACAAAACCCCAATGTCTAGTCACAAGCCCACCAGAACCAAGAGGTCCCATAGACACAAATACATTCAGAGGTGAAGACTAAAACCCTGGTCATCGGTGGCTTAAGCAACTCGCAAGCACCATTCCCCGAAGACCAGAGTCACCCAGGGGGAATTTAATGTGTAACTTCTTGAGAACATGACTTCACGGAAGGGGTAACGCATGGGATGTCCACGCAACGCTCCCAGTCCTGACCTTGCCATGGTTGTGCAGTCCACTCTTCTGGGGCACTGCAGACCAACGTAGCCTCATGGGCTACCCGATCTTTCCAAAGCCCCATGTCCCTTGCTGTGATTCTCCAAAACTACTTAAATTTTGGGAGTTGGACTTGAGGATCCTTCGGTTTCTGTTCCACCTCGAGATATTTTACGACAAAACTTAGTAGAAACCCACAATATTGGTGAGACTCAAATGGGATAAAGGACGCTGATGAGGTTGGCTCTGCACAGGAGACTCGAGCTGTTGCACTCAAAGGAAGCGGTACGGAAAGAAGACAGAAAAAATAATAACATCAAAGCTGCACTGTGCTCTCAACCTGCCTGTCTGGGTGGCCAGGGAAGACACCCAGACATCTAAGGACCCAACGTTTAATAGCACAAGGGAATGAGTTTGCTTCTGCGTTGATGCACGGAGCTCCAATGGGGATGCTCTGGGCTCCAACGCAGGGAGAACTGAAAGCATTGCAGGAAAAAAAAAAAAATTATATATAAAAGAGAATTTCAATAAGTACTAAGAAGAGCCAGTCACTACAGAGGCTTGCAAAACGCTGAGATCATCCCTCAGGGCCTAGAATTCTGGGAAACACCAACCTTGAGTTTCATTTCTTCAATCAAATCAGCAAATTGTCTGATTAATCAAAAAGAAAAGTTTGGGGGGAAAGGGTGGTTTATGGTGGGTTTATTATTATTTATTTTCAGGAGTGGACCAGCCAAGGTGCCTACATAGGGTTGAGTATGTCCATATTGTGGGTAAGATGTGGTGGACCAGCCACGGGATGGTTCCTCAGGTCGGTTTATGGTGGTAGGTCAAAGTTCTTAATTTTGGAAAGAACGCTGGTACAAATCACCCAGTTTTTGCCATTTCAGTGAAGGCATCTGAGCTCCGAGTTCCCTCTATAGCAACGAAGATGGGATCAAACCAAAATTGTGCGACGCTTAACTTAAAGGTGTCCAATAGATGAACTGTCACCTGGAAATGCCCATTTTCATCACCAGAAAGGACATTTTGGATGCTAGGGCAGAGGTCTTCCCGGGATGCAGAATGAATCCCATAATATTTAGACAGATCTAAATGGGAAAGGAAAAGGAAAAGAGAACCTCAAACCCGACGTTTCACTGCTGGGAAGTTCTCTGCTGGGAAGTTCTCTTCACGGAGGAGGGTGTGGTCACCCTTACTGTATTCTGATAATCATAACGCTTCCTATAATGCGCTGTAGACTGATGGCCAATGTCCAAACCTGGTAACACCAGTGAGTAAAGGGGCAAAAAAAAAAAAAAAAACAAACAACAACAAAAAACCACCACCCAACTGACTGACAGAGGAACTGACTACGTGCTCAATTCCTGCTTCCCCTTCTTATGACAAATCCCACTGTGCTCTCTTCCGGGGTGCACTGATTGGCAGAAGGTTTTTTTTTTTGCACCACCACAACTACGTTGCCCCCCCTTTTTTTTTTTTTTTAAAGCCAGGCTATAAAATGAAAGCAAATCTCAGAGGACTTCTCTTCTTACTGGAACGATGACTAGGATCGGTGAGTGACTGTCCCCTGAATCTTGAGTTCTCTTGCTGGTCTTTGGGGTTTTTTTTCCCTGGTTTGCTCTCATCTTCAGTGCCTGGGTTTGGTGGTTGGGTTTGTTGGGGTTCTTTTTTGGTTTTGTGGTTTTTTTCCCCCATCTGGTGGAATATCTGCCTTTTGTGTTGCCTCCTGACAGCATAACCACAACCCTCCCTTTCTTCAGCTCCACGATCACCTTGGAGCTTGACTTTGCAACACTGTGGGCAGTGGGAGACCTCCCTTGCAAGCCTGGGGAGTGGGATTGGTCCTAGTTGTGCAGGGAGAGTTGGAAACAACAGGCACAAGCTCAGAATCTCCGGGTCCCTTCCTGGAGGACACCTCCTTGCCTCAGGTTTGGGGTTTCTCCACATCTACCCACAACACAAGAAGGTCTGGTGGAAGACAGAGATCCAACAGAGGTTTCCAAGGGCTGGTCCCAATGTATTCGCTCTCCTCCCACGGAGAGACTGATCTCCAAAAAGGATCTCCTTTGGCTTCCATGTGGTCCATAAGGTCTTTGGGGTTGCCATGCTGGGTGAGATGAGGGCAGCAAGCCTGGCCACTGGCTCTACACCACCACAAACCCCACACTCACCAAAAACACAACTCAAGGCAGCATCCTTGGTCCTCAAGGAAGACCAGGGCAGCAGCAGCGTTGGGTCAGGAAGGTTGATGCAGCTTCATCTATGCGATATCCCTCTCTGCCACGCTTTGAAGACGACAACCCTGCTGTTAAGAGGCTAATTGTAGCAGATTCTAATTATTTTTTACTGTCACAGTCTGTGTCTTTAGGAAGCTGGATCAGCTCTAGGGGCTGTAGAAAGTCCCACTTCCAGGAGCTGGACTTGGGTCCCTCAGAAAATCCCCTGCAGGGTAACAGCTCTGACATTTATTCGCAGCAGATGAATGTCAACCCGGGTTGTCTGCAGATCTGGGGCTGTTCCAGCAAAAGCAGTGATTCCCCAGGGATTTTCCGGGAGTAAGAATTACCCAGGGTGTGGTTTCAATAGCTGCTGCTTCTTTTTTTTTTTTCCCTTGCCTTTTTTTTTTTTTTTCCCCCTGGAAGGAAACTGGCAGTATTTGGGAGTGGGAGGGGAAGGAAAAGAAAATGAAAGTTGCCCTGTAGATATTTTGGAGAACAGAAACCAACATTAGGAAAATCCTGGGGTGGTTTTCTCTTCAAACTTCACTTCCCTGTGAAAATATTAATATAACGTTGTTGTTGTGGCAGAAGTGGTTTTTCTGAATTGGCTGCAGTCTGCTTGCTCTCCCCTGTAGGTAACTCTACTCTCTGTAGGGCATCTCAGAAATTAAATCACTTGA